ATGCATGACACGAAGTATTTGCTAGTCTAGTACTGGAGAAATTAGCGTTTGGATGCGCATTGTGAGCCTTTAATGGAGGCGGCAGGTGTGTGAAGTTAGCATGAGCTGAATGAGAAACTTTTACCCTCTCCCCCCTTGCATCGCGGATATACGTCGATGTCTTAGTGAACTCCAGCTTGTAAGGTCTCCCGCCGTAATAAACATGAAAAACGACGACAGGTGAAGAAGATATTTGATCTACAAGAGATCGTCATGCCCTCGTGCCTCCAGAACCGGTATGTTTGTATTAGAATCCATCGGTAGATTAACTGAGCGCTTCGCATGGAAAAAACTACCCTATATTGCGTGACATCTCTCTTATCTGACATCTATCTGACTTTCTTGTAGGCGCTCCAAGCCGTGAGAGCTGACTGTATTCCAGTCTCATATTGGGAAACGCATAAAACTGCAGAGAGATGGCGAAAATAATGAAGAAATTCAACGCAAGTAAGTAAGTGCCTATAGCTTTACGGCCCCCCTTTATTAGGGATGAAACCGATAGTCATTAGAGATGAAACCGAAGTTTATTAATGCTAGCTATTACTCCTGCACCCTCCCCTCCCCGATTTGGCTTGTGCAGAGATGCCAACCACTACGATTTATTCGTATTTTATACGAATTTTTACTTCCTTTTGCACCACTACGACGAGTTTGCTATCAACGAATTTCACTGTGATCGAAATTTTGTTGTTGTTGTCAATTTATTGTCATTTTTTGTCAATTTATTGTCATTTTTGACCCTCAGAATGCAGGAAATTGACATCCCAGAATCAAAAATTTTTCCGGGGCATGCCGGACCCCCTAGCAAACTCGGGTCACTACGTGAGTCTCGAACTACTAATTTGATGGGCAGAAACTACAGATTGCTTCACATATGTGTTGGCATCTCTGCTCGTGCGTAATATGGGAGGTCGGTGGGTGGCGCGGTGGCTGTGCAATGATGAGCATTATAGCTGCATGCCTGGGCAGTTCTGTCAACTGTCCTCGCTTATTAGTCGGTCCCCGGTCCCTTGTATTGTATTGTAGTGTATTGTATTGTAGTCTATTTTATTGTCCTCGCTCACCCACCGCACAGACCGATCTCCCCAGCCATCCTTATAGCGAAAATAGCAGGTCATTACGAACAAGCGAAATATCGACGAGGTTGGAATTCCATCAGGTGGCGCTACTCCCTGGTGTGGTATCCCTCTACCGGAGGTTTCCCGCGCATGCGCACACAGGCGCGCCGGTATTGGCGTCTCAAACTCCACGACAGATGCCGCTCTCGCTGTGGCTCAATTCTACCACTGCCACAAGCTGATTTCCGTAAGAATTTCTTACGCTTTTTTACTATAAGTTTTACAGCCGACCTTTTATGAGAAATTTGCGCCCATTTACTACTTTCAAATCATTATGCTGTTTACTAAACTAAGTTCATGTATTTATCATGAATTTTTGGGATCCTTGCCAATATACCCAAATTCTCGAACATTGTCTTTGATACATTTTTGCGTATTCAGCTTAAAACATCTAAATTTGTCTACCAACAAACATGCAAATCATAGAAATTTCGAATGTTTTGTTCGGCGGCGACTTTGCGGCCGTTGGATTGCCATTTGCTGGATTTCCCCGGAGCTTCGCCCACTTTAAAAATAGTGCTAGCATTGTGGCAGTGGTATTATGCTGAGTGTGGGAAGGGGGCGCTGCACGCAGTTTGTCGGCGTCTGCCTCAATCCCACCACAGAGATCACGTCAGAGAGACTATCGGCTTTTGATTATAGTTTTAAATTTTGTTAAATTGCGCCGCCACAACGAACAAGAGAGCAATTTTCATCTCTGTGGTGAGATTGCGTCTGCCTGAATCCTGGTCACAGACGCTGTGGCCCCTATACTACTGTGACCCAGGAGGGCTAAAAAATAAACCTTAGGCCAAAACAAAATATAGGTGTGGTTACCGTTTCATGCCGAAAAAAAATAGGGTAGGTAGGTAGGGAAAACATTTTATTTTATTAACACATTTTATTTACGAACCATGTCCGAAGGTTGTGCGTTGTGCCTTTTGAAGCAGGAACTGTCCAATTCATATATATATTTTTTTATTTTTAAAAATTTTTTTTTTTTTTTTTTTGTCCGAAGGTTGTGCGTTGTGCCTTTTGAAGCAGGAACTGTCCAATTCATATATATATTTTTTTTTTTTAAATATTTTTTTTTTTTTACTTCAAAGAAAATTGACAATAATATGTTTAGGGTCGCTGGGAATAAATAGGGTCGGTCGGGAAACGATAACCACACCTATATTTTGTTTTGGCCTTAGTCCGTGCGTGATGTGTTGTAGAGGCATGTGGTTAAAGAACTGTGGAGGTCGCTCAGAGGTAGCGTGCAGAGGTCGCGCTACTCGGAATTTACGAAAATTGAAGAAAGAACAAATGTTTTCGTTACAAGTAATTGTCACTATAGAACTCATGTTCGTGCTCCCGTTTTTATCTTTCGGTGTCAGGCTACGGTTTTAAATTACCCTCTCGTGTTTTGTTGCCCCTTGTTTAGAAATACAGACCGCATGTGTCGCCACATGCATGTCCGGCATTTTTTGATAGTTTATAGTAACTCGCACCACCGCATTAGAGACCATTTGAATGGATTTTCCATCGATAATGTTTAATTTTTATGCCAAAAACTTGCACTGAATTCGTTTCAAACAACAAACTCTTGGTCATAGCATCTGCGTGTAATATAGTGATCGAACGTCATCATACCAGGAGTGAATAATAGAGAAATAATAGAGATTTAATAGAGAATAATAGAGAAATAATAAAAAATTAATAGAGAATTAATAGAGAATAATAGAGAAATAATAGAGAATAATCTCTATTATTCACTCCTGCATGGGGCCGGTTTCCCGAAGCCTGATTAACTTTAATTATGATTAAATCACTAATCATACTTAACTTCCTGTAATTATGATTAGTGATTTAATCATGATTAAATACTTCAGTACGCTTCGTGAAACCGTCCCCTGATCATATAGTGTGATCTTAATTACAGTGCGCTGTAATATTTCGTGGGAGTGGGCGTGCGTGTGGGGTAGGTAACAGCTATAGTGGGGGGGGGGGTCGGTGATATTAGTGTAGTGATGTATTATATTTGAGCATGCAGCGATCAGTGAACACGTAAGGTGCCACTGTTGTCATGTCAAATGCTGTATATGATTTCTACACAATTGAACGCACTAGAACGCGGGCGAGAGCGAGGAGGAGGGGGGAGCAAGAGAGCGGAGGAAAGAGAGCGATGAGAGAGAAAGAGGAGAGAAGAGAGAGAGCGAAGCAGAGAGAGAGAGAGAGTGAGAGCGAGAGAAAGAGAGAGAGAGAGAGAGGCGAGAGAGAGAGAGGAGAGAGAGAGAGAGAGAGAGAGAGAGAGAGAGAGAGAGAGATGAAGTGAGAGCGAGAAGCGAGAGGAGAGAGAGAGAGAGAGATGAGAGAGAGAGAGAGAGAGAGAGAGAGAGAGAAAGAGAGCGAGAGAGAGAAAGAGAGAAAGAGAGAAAGAGAGAGGAGAGAGAGAGAGAGAGAAAGAGAGAGAGAGAGAGAGAGAGAAGAGAGAAGAGAGAGAGAGAGAGAGAGACAGGCTGAGCCATTGCTCGCGGCAGATTGCCACGCTATTGACTCGCGCGTCGAAATTAGTCCACGGAGCGAGGCGCGCACAACGTACGTTACCCTTACCTACACGCTGCTGGCCTGCTGCTGCTAGCGTTAGTGTGGCCGTGCTAGTTGAACGATCGGTCGCTTCCTCTCGTGCGCTGTTGGTGCTGACAGGAGTCAGAGTAACTATATACGTGCGTGCGTGCGTGCGTGTGCGTGCGTGCTGCAAGATCAGTGATCGATAATCGATGTGTGAAGCCGCGTACCTGGATAGCGTCATCTGTGTGTGTGGCTGCATGGTGACAATTCGTCGTTATAGGTGTTCGCTGGGAAAGAGAAGCTAGGTGGCTGAGGGAAGAGGAGGTGAGTGAGTGTTGACTAGCTACCTGTTTTGTCATTATTATTATTACCCTGATTGATATATATATATATATATATATATATATATATAATATTATATATCAAAGTTCATAATAGAAAATTCTTCTATTAGGTACTCTTGATATTATGTGTGTATGTAAATCAATATGCAGCGCGTGACTGTATAGGCTGAATATATGCGCTGACCAAAATTATTTTCGCCATGGCGACATGTGCAAATGTTGGACAAGCTCCCTATATACCTCCCCCTTCGAGCCTTTGCTCTACGAGGGCCGGGCCCACGAAAGGGGTCGAAATAAGCGATGGTCCGATGTCCGGGGCCATCAAACATAATCAGGATGACCAGTCAGATTTTCAAAGTCAATGTCCCGCACTGGAACCATTGAGAATATTTTTTGTCCATTTTACGTGGAAAATTTCTTTGAGTTTCCACGTTTCGATTATTTGCTGATCCGTGTTGCACCATAGCAAATGTTTGGCATGAATGTAACAAATGAGAACAATTTCGGAGGACCATCTCAAAACTTTAGGAGGACCATCTGAATATTCAAACTAGATGGTTTCGTTCCATCTCTTTTTTCTCCTTATTTCTACTCCCGGCGTGGTACGCACATTAGTACAGTGAACACCACCTGCCGATTACCTGTTCGGCGAACCCTGCAGGTTAATGTCCAGACGCCCATCCCTGCGTGTTTGGATGTGGACACCGCGGCAGGTACTGTAATAGCCGATGATGGGGACCAGTTCTTTCGCAAAACATTGGCACAAAAGGCGCGCTGTGTTTGTTCGCCCGCCGCCATGCATACAGCAACGCTTCCTGTGGAATACCGTATAAGGGATTGTGACCCCAAGAGCCAGGCGCCCCTTGTTAAGAAACATCGCAAAGTTAAAGCTAATGCTAATGCCAAGATAGCACCTTACGACGAATGTCAATGTTACGAGAAATAGCGTTGACAGAAACGCATCGCAGCTATGAGCAAAAACTTACGATAAGCTAGCTGGGTTAATTAGATTAATGTGAATCATTAGACTTGGGTTGATGGAATGGATGGGTTGATGATGGATGTGGAAGGATATGGATGAGATGGATGGATGGATGGATGAGATGGATGGATGGATGGATAGATGGATGGATGGACGGACGGACGGACGGACGGACGGACGGAACGGACGGACGGATGGATGGATGATGCGATGGACGGTCGGACTACGATGGATGGGACGGACAGACGGGTGGATGGATGACGCGACGAGACGGACGACGGACGGCATGGATGGATGGACGGGGTCGACGGACGGATGGATGGACGGACAGAGCGGTTGTGGCATGGATGACGGCTTACAAGGATCAACGCATAACTTGTCGCAGCGTGCATAATGGCCCACTGTTGCTCGCCACAATCGCGATCCGATATCAGACGGAAGCTGTACTGATATTCTAACAGTTAATAGTTTTTTC